GTTTCCGATTCTGTGTCTCCCTCTCTCTCTGCCCCTCCCCCGTTCATGCTCTGTCCCTCTCTGTCTCAAAAATAAATAAAACATTAAAAAAAAAAAAAAAAAGAAATGTAGCATCAAAGCACAGGTGTCCTGATCTAAAAGTCGGCTGCTGGGGTTTGGGTACGGGCTGCTGGAGAGGGACGAGGGGGCCCCCAGCCCAGCCGTGAGTCACATCCAGACCTGTAGGGAGGTGGCCGCACAGTGGGGCTAGAATCAGGCAGAAGGGGGATCCCGGCCCAGCCCCACCGTGTTCTGGTGATGTGATCTTGGACTCATTGCTTAACCAACTTGCCTCAGTTCCTCCTCCGAGAGATGGTAAAACACAAGTGCACTTACCTCGCAGACTCGCCGAGAGAGGTTTACTCCGCACGAAACACGGAACGCCTTTAGCAGAGGTCCTGCTGTGATAAAAGTGCTCAGGAAAAGCTGATTATTAAACAGTCATTTCTCTGCCCCTCGTCTCCTCCTGCAACTTCCACACCGTGGAGGCAGCCCCCACCCCCTGTCACTCCTGCAACTGTCCGAGTCCTTTCTGTCCCCTCATACTGGGGGCTGACGGCTCTTTGATCTTTTCCACAGTGGAGACTTAGGCACATTTTGTGATTCGTTCAGGATTCGTGCCGTGCAACGCAGACAGAGGCTTGACACGTTTAAAAAGTATCCAGACTGGGGCGCCTGGGCAGCTCAGTGGGTTAAGCCTCCAGCTCTTGATTTTGGCTCAGGTCATGATGTCCTGGTTTCTGAGTTCAAGCCCCGCGTCGAGTTCTGCGCTGACAGTGAGGAGCCTGCTCGGGATTCTCTCTCTGTCTCCCCTCTTGCTTTCTCTCTCTCTCTCTCTCTCTCAAAATAAATAAATAACTGGGGCGCCTGGGTGGCGCAGTCGGTTAAGCGTCCGACTTCAGCCAGGTCACGATCTCGCGGTCCGTGAGTTCGAGCCCCGCGTCGGGCTCTGGGCTGATGGCTCAGAGCCTGGAGCCTGTTTCCCATTCTGTGTCTCCCTCTCTCTCTGCCCCTCCCCCGTTCATGCTCTGTCTCTCTCTATCCCAAAAATAAATAAACGTTGAAAAAAAAATAAATAACTTAAAAACAATAGACAAAACGTATCCCGATTAATCTTCCTCTGTGACAATGAACCCTCAGGCCTGTCCACCCCAACGTCACACTTCTGGGTGTCCTTCCAGCCACTGGGGGTCGCAGAAGCCTCCCAAACGCCATGCTCCTGAGTCGTGCACAAAGCAGAAGTGAAATTTTCTCTCAGGGGAGAAACATTTCTGGCTGCTATTTGGGCGAAGGAGAAATGAGCTTAAAGATCTGTTATCTGCCGTCCCTTCTATTTCCTGTCTCTCTTGTCTATTTTTGTTAATGTCTATTTGTTTTTGAGAGAGACAGAGTGCGAGCAGGGGAGGGGCAGAGCGAGAGGGAGACACAGAATCCGAAGCAGGCTCCGGGCCCCGGGCTGTCAGCACGGAGCCCGACCCGGGGCTCGAACCCACAAACAGCGAGATCACGACGTGCGCTGAAGTCGACGCTTAACCGACTGAGCCAGCCAGGCGCCCCATTGTTTCTGTAGGCCTTTGGGCTTCACAGGAGGGCAGTGTGCAGTGGACAGAGGGAACCCAGAAACACCCTGGACCCCCAGCGAGCCAGAAGCAGGCCGTGCCGGCTGCAGAAGCCCTCCCACAAACCCCCTGGGAAAATGTGGGTGAGTGGAAGCATGTGGTCCAAGCTCAGTCTCTGTGCCCCGGCTGGGCCCCAAGACCCGGGGCCCAGGAGCTGGTGACCGGAAGATGGGTGACCCTCAAGGAAGCTCGGACGCTCTACTGCTCTGCAATCACTTCCTTTCACACATGCAAGGCTGAGGTTGACCTGAGCTCTCCTGCAAGAACCTTCTGGCCACCCCCCCCCCCACCTCCCCGCCCCGGAGCTTCTGAAGGTTCTGTGTTTGTTTCTCCTGCCGATGCCCCTATATTCCCAAGCTGCCTTCTGTTCGGTTTGATTTGTGGCTGTTCCTCTGAAATGTTTCTGCATTCGTGTATGTGACCTTGAGAATCTGGAAGATCACAGGGTATTGGTGTTTGGGGTCAGGTTTTCCTGTGAGCTTAGCGCCTCGAGGAGCAGGGAAGAAGCACCCCAAATCTCCTGGCCCTCCCAAGGTTGAACAAGCCGCTCGGGACCCCGGGGAAACCTCTTTGGGCTCTGCCTGTACATTTGGCCCCAAGGGCGTCCTCATCATCAGCTGAAGCTCGGCAGGCACGGGTCCCTCAGCTGGTGGGATAGTGCAGGAGAAAAGAGGAACTCCGTGGATAGTCTACACTCGGGGGTGGAGAGCAGCCCTGCCCTTCACCCTCTCTGTGGCTTTTGCCAAGTCCCTCACGGACTCTCCATTTTGTCGTCTGCGATGTGAGCATCCCTGCTGACCTCGCGGGCTGTGCGATAGATAGATGATAGAATGGGCCAGAAAGCAGTTTGCAACTGCAGTCATCAGACCGGCATCTCCCAGAGTTCTAAGGAATCCTAGTCTTAAAGAATGTTAACAGGTGCTGTTTGAAAGAACACATTTCTTTTTTCTACATTAAAGATAGGATTGGGAGGGGCCCCCCGGGTGGTTCAGTCGGTTAGCGTTTGACTCCGGCTCAGGTCATGAACTCATAGTTCGTGAGTTCGAGCTCCACGTAGGGCTCTGGGCAGACAGCTCAGAGCCTGGAGCCCGCTGCAGATTCTCTCTTCCTCTCTCTCTCCCCCTCCCCGGCTTACGCTCTGTCTCTCTCTCTCTCTCAAAAATAAATAAACATTAAAAAAAAAACTAAAAAAAAAAAAGGAAAAAGAATCATAGGTGGTTGTGTTTACCCTCACATAAATCAGCCCCCATCGTAAGCTTCTCTAAAGCTTAATCTCTCAATTGGTAGGAAGACGTTGCCCTGACCAGAGCACCCAGGAAGGGCTCCCATGGTTCATTGCTTGCACGTGGAGAACGCTCTGGGGTCCCTCCCGGGAAGATCCAAGCCTCGCTGAATTCCACATTCCCCGTCGACGTACCCCGAGGTGATTCCGGAACCGTCACCTTTGTAGGCCTCTCCGTGTTGACTTCCCTCTATCGCCATCGCCAACAGCTGGCGTGTTCCACAAGGTAAAGAAATTCTTCGGTTGCTGAAATCACTCCGGGAGAATTCTAAGTCCCCAGCAAGGGGCTGGAGACTGAGCTCAGGGGCGGGTGGCCACTTATCAGACAGAAGTCCCAGCCCCGTCCCGGCCGGCCACCCTCCTTCCCATGAAGGACAGTCAGTGTCCACACCAGGCTTCCACCCTCCCCGCTGCTGGAGGTGCGGTGACTTTTGAACTTGGGGAGTTTGGAAAGGATAGCAGGGAAGGCTTCGCTCAGCCCTGTCCTCTTCGCCAGGAAAGGGAGCTGCCCGCGGCCCTTGGGGTTGCCTTTGCCTCCGTAGATAAAGCATCCAGTTCTGCGGTTTAGTGAACGGGGTCATGTGTGGCCCCTTAATTTCTTAACATCCTCAGAACCGGAGAAGATAAGGGGACAGGTGGGGAGGGCAGGGGTGCTTTTTTCTCTTCCGATGATGCTGAGCACCAGAAAACTGAGGTCGGCCAGAAGTGCCACGGAAGTTTAGAGGAGGGGCGGGCAGTTCCAAGCACCTGCTACGTTAAGACACCGTCATCGTGGTGGGGCCCTGGTTGGGCCTTTCCCACAAGCAGGCGGGTTTCATGGGCCACCTCACCTGACCCTCCCATAGATGGAGGTGTTGTTCTTACCTCCGTTTGCAGATGAGGAAACCAAGCACCATTCCAGCTGCCTGGACCCAGGAGTCCAGTCTTTCTAAGCAGAAAAGGATGTCTTCACGGGGGAGCTGGGCCTTCACTGCGGACGGGGTGCAGACCAGCAGAGAGAGGAGAGGGTGAGACTGCCCGAGGCGTGTCTGGACCAGTGAGTCCCCCGTGAGGCTTGAATGGGAGACTTGGGGCAGAAAGAGGGTCCCCAGAAACGCAGCAGGAAGCCTTGGAGTTAGGCAAGGCCTCTGGCATTTTCTAACCCAGCCTCTCACCTGTGGAGAGAGTTTTCCTTATTCTCTGGTCCCTGTGGCTGTGGTCCCTGGCCCCCGGGAGCTGCCCTCGCAGGGCTGAATACAAAGGCCACTCAGGCCATGCGTCCCCAGCTCCATCAGGGGGCTCCCAGGATGGTCCCCCTTGTGGGACACATTGCAGAGACTTCTTGTTCTCTGGGGCAGAAATCTGCCTCGTGGCAGCCTCTCCCCACCCGGGGATGCCCCACAGAGCCCAAGGGAAAGGCCGACTCTATCATAATATAGCACAGCTTCCTATCTCTTTCTTCCTACCAGACGTTTCCGGTTTCTCTAACTCTTCTCTGGCAAGGCTTCTGCTGACCCCCCTGACACTGAAGCCTGGCTACCAAGCTGGCTCCAACTCGAGCCTCCGGGATGTCCATGAGCCCTCCCGACAGACTTCTTCCTTTCACCCCCCATCTTTTCTTTGCCATTGGCAGTGTGTGTCACGGTCCCGCGTACATAAGAGATGTTTGATAGACGCTTGGCGAACTGCTTTGACGTCGTCCACGTGGCCAGTTTGTCAAAGGTCACGCCTCTAAGGTCAGAGCTCTTCCCACAAATGTTGGGTGATGCCTGCGCGGTGCCCAGCGTCGCGACAGGCGCCCCGGACCCATCAGCACATAGAGCCCGCACACGTGTCACGGTGGTAGCCTAGCCACAGCTCCTGTTTGCTTAGCCCTGTGTATCCTACAGAGTCTTTCTTCCGTATTTATCTTAGTCGATTCCATGGCAACCTGATGATTTACAGGTGAGAAGGCTGAGGTCCAGCACGATCTGCTGATGAAGGTTATGGAGCTATTCGGTCACACGGAAAGGCACTTCTCGGGTCTTCTGGGGACGCCTAACCCTGCGCTCCACCTCGACTCATCAAGGTCTCCTCTAGAGCTCTGGGGAATAACTAGGTTATCCCGCGGTCCTCATCTTGCCTTCGCGGGAAAGTTCCGATTTAATTTAAAAACTCCCTTTGGTACTGAAGTATAATCGACATACAATGTTATATCCGTTGCAGGTGCATAGCCTAGTGATTCGAACTACCTTCCCTACCTTATTTCATGCTCACCACCATAAACGTAGTTACCGTCTGCCACTCGATTTTACTTTCTGCCCTGCCCCCTGCCCCGGGTCAAAGCAATGTTTATTCAAGAATTATCTGCCCCCCTCCAAAAAGAGAAAAAGAGAGAGAGAGAGAGGACAATGCCAAGAGAATGCAGAACCCTGAAACGGCTGCTGAACGTCAGCAGTGTTCATCTCAAAGATTACTCAACTGAGGGTTTAGTATGTAATTCCAGCAGCAGAAAAGAAGAACTGTACTGAACTTGATAACTTTCTGAAAACTTGCAGAGCAGCGAGCCTGTTTAAAAGGGGAAGCCGTCTTGTGTCCTACCTTCCCAATGCCTCTGATCAGACGGCTTCTCCATTTCGTGCGTGGCGAGACCTAAGCTGTCCCCGGGTGCAGAAGGGACTTTGCTAAAGTCACAGGTACCATTTGCCTTCACTCTCTTCTCTTCCGGGCAAGAACTTACTACATTGTGATAGAAGTCGCTCGCTTAAAAGTGATTTCCGGGTAGACCGCCAGGTTTCCAGGAACAAGGAGATGGAGAGAGGGGTCCAGGCAGGGCAAGCGGTGCCTCTCCAGCGTGCTCTTGGATTGCGGAGGCAGAGGAGAGGGTGATTTAGTAGGTGGTATGGGGCCAAAGTAGGAGAGTTTGTTGTGACACATGTCCATTTCCTTCTTGCTTTCTCCCACTTTCCTTCTTTCTCCCACCCACGCTGTGATACCCTTGCCTCTCCCAGTCATCCACACTTGGCCTTTTGTACCTCATCAGTCAGCATGCCCACGGCTGGGCCCATCGTATGTTCTCCGTGCCTTCATAAATTCTCAACTACTGAGGACATGACCGCTCCAAGTTAGCCATTTCGCGTGTATCGATGTTGACTTCGTAAGAAACAGCCCGTGAAAATAGAACTTGCATATACGTGTGTACATACATCTACCTAGTGCAGTTGTATATATACATGTGTATTTCAAGTGTTCATTGAAAATCCACCCTAAGTCAGGCTATGATGATGAATCAGTGAATCAAATGATTTGGTCTTCGTGTCTGGATCTACAAGGTTGACTGTTTTTCCTAGACCTGTCCTAGAGGATAGGGGTAGAAATCCCTCCTAATCTTTTGGGAAACCTTGGATTGATGCGGGTGGAAGTTAACAGTTGTTTGACTGGTGTTTAGAGGGAGGGTGGTGGGAGTATGGGGACTTTGGTACACGGAAGTGATAGGGGTATTTGTAGCTCTTTTCAGACGGTGGTGATGATTACATTGAACCAGGTAGGCTGAGTTATTTCTCTTGGGGCAAGAATCGTATGACTCAACAAGAAAAAAGCAGATGTACCCAGCATAAAATGGGTAAAGGGCACCGCCAGATAACTCACAGAAAAGGAAATATGGATGATTACCAATTACAGTTTTAAAAAATGCTCAGTAATTAAACAAATATTAGTTACACAATAATGACGTCTCTTTTGCCCATATACATGGCCAATTTTTTTTTTCTTTTCTGTCTTCTTGGTGTTGATGGATGCTTGCTGAGATTAGAGCCATCACCTACTACTGCCCAGAATATATACATCGCTGAACACTTTCTGGAAGCAATTTGACAAAACGCATCAAGAGACTTAGAAAACAGGTAGAAATTGTGCTTTGGGAAACCTACTCTAGGGAAATAATTTTAAAAAATACAAAGATGTTTATTACAGTATTATTTATAAAAGTGTAAATCTGGAACAACTTGATCGCACACCAATAAGACAATGATTAAATAGCCATGAATATCTATACAATATGTTGGTGTCTTTTCAAGTTATATTTCCTTTATTTAAAAAATTTTTTAATGTTTATTTATTTTTGAGAGAGAGAGAGAGAGAGAGCACAAGCAGGTGAGGGACAGAGAGAGAGAGAGAGGGAAGCAGAGGATCTGAAGCAGGCTCCATACTGATGGCAGAGAGCCCGATGTGGGGCTCAAACTTACGAACCATGAGACCATGATCTGAGCTGAAGTCAGACGCTTAACCGACTGAGCCACCCAGGGGCCCCTACAAATTATATTTTCAAATAATTACTAGCCACATGGAACAGGGTGCAAGATACAACATTTAAAATATCAGAATACAGAGGGTCACCTGCGTGGCTCAGTCGGTTGAGCGGTTGACGTTGGCTCAGGTCACAATCTCGTGGTTCATGAGTTCAAGCCCTACGACAAGCTTTGTGTGGACAGCTCACGAGCCCGGAGCCCGCCTCACATTTCGTGTCTCCCCCTCTCTCTACCCCTCCCCCACTCACACTCTGTCTCTCCCGGTCTCTCAAAATTGAAGAAATGTTAAAAAAAATATATCAGAACACAGAAACGATATAAAAGTGTGATATGGTACCTAGAAAGGAGATCTGGGGCAGAGGTTCTTTCTCCGTTTTATGTGGTTTTACCCCAACCATGCTATTTTGACTACACAGTCATGCCTTCCCTATGAAAACATATTCCTCACAATCATCTCTTTCAACTAAATGACAGATCAACCTGCAATACAATTAAAATTCAACCACACTTGAAACACCCCATGTTGAAATATAAAGAGTCAATCTAATCTTTGGGCAAGAAAGTTGGTAAGAATATCCAAAATCACTGGGGCGCCCAGGTGGCTCGGTCGATCAAGCGTCCGACTTTGGCTCGGGTCATGATCTCGTAGTCTGTGAGTTCGAGCCCCGCATCCGGCTCTGTGCTGATGGCTCGGAGCCTGGAGCCTGCTTCTGATTCTGTCTCCTTCTCTCTCTGCCCCTCCCGTGCTTGTGCTCTCTCTCAAAAATCAATAAATGTAAAAAAAAAAAAAATTTAAATAAAAAAGAATATCCCAAATCACTTGGCAGGTGGATAAAACCAAGTCACTTAAAATGAACTGACCACACTCCAGCACGGAGTGTAGCCTTTGCTCTAGTAACTAATGATAATGATCAGCAGATGTGGAAGTCCTTGTGCTGCCCTAAAATACAGTGCTGAGAGGTTCTTGTGTGTTTCCAGGGAGGGAGCTTCCTGGCTCGCCAAGCAGCCCGTTCTGTTCCCACACAACCTGGTAGTTCCCACATGTCCTTCCCCAGGTGGGCCTGACTGTAGTCTCCTTCAATGCCATCAAGTTTCTGCGCTCTGGGAGTCTACTCCCTCTTCTGCAGAAAAAGCTATCACGTCAGTCCATCTCAAAGGGACCTAAAACATTGCCTAATCCAAACCTTTCGTAAAAAAGATTAGAGGGACGCCTGGGAGGTTCAGTCGGTTGAGCTTCTCACTCTTGGTTTTGCTCAGGTCATGATCTCATGCTTTGTGCATTCAAGCCGACCTTGGGCTCTGTGCTGACAGTGTGGAACCTGCTTGGGATTCTCTCTCTCTCTCTCTCTCTCTCTCTCAAACTCTCTCAAAATAAATAAACTTAAAAAGAATCTTAAAAAAAAAAAAAAAAAATATAAAAAATGGGGGCCCAGAAAAAAGAAAAATACTGGCAAAAACAAAAACAAACAACAAACAACAAACAAAGAAACACAAACTAAAATTAATCTGAGGATTTGAAGCCTCTTATGTTTTCATACAAAACATTCTGAGTTCTGTCAGCCACGGCTGATGTTTCTGGACCTTTCTCACCCTAGCCTGTCCTGTACTCCAGATTGACATTAACCCTCTTAACATGGGGTACCTGGGACAGAACATCATATTTCAAATGTGTAGTCTGAACAGTGAGAAGCAGGGCGAAAATTATTCGATTCAGTCCGGAAGTGTTCAGTAAGCAGCTGTCACTTGTCAGGAGTCCTACGGGCACAGTGACCAGTCGCTAGTTCCGCACTGTCCACTCTGGTGACGACTTGCGCATGCGGTGACTTCAATTTAAATTCACTACATTTAAATAAAATGAAAAGGTCAGCCACATTTCGAGCGCTCAACAGCCATTTGGCGAGGGGTGCCTCGTTGGACAACACAGACCCAGAACATGTCCATCATTGCAGAAGAGTTCTGTTGGGTAGCACCACACCAGATAACTCTTTTGACTATTCCAGGTTCTCTGTAAAAAAAAAACAAAAAAAAGTGAAAGGTTGGGAGGCCTGGCTTCACTGTAGAGTGGGAAGCAATCCAAGTAGCTAGTTGGAGAGGTAATTGGATGAATAAATGAAGGGGCAGCTGGGTAGAGACGTCGATGGAGAATCAGGTATGTGGATTTCCTTTCTTCTGGGTGATCTATTAATACAGATTCAAATTGAGTTCGCTCTCAGGGTCACTGTGTCACAGCGTTGACATTCTTTATTTTGCTTCTCGCCGAAGCTCGAGGAGGTTGGAGGGTATGTAACTGAGGAACAGAAAACAGGTTCATAAAATTCAGGAGAGATTTCATGTCCCCTAAGAGTAGGGGAGCCGTAAGAATCAGGGTGGCCCAGGAGCGTCTGCGTGGCTCAGTCAGTTAAGTGTCTGACTCTTGATCTCGGCTCAGGTCTTGATCTCAGGGTTCTCGAGTTCAAGCCCCGCTTTGGGCTCCGCACTGAATGCGAAGCTTACTTAAAAAAAAAAAAAAGAAAAGAAAAAGGAATCACTGTGGCCTGGGTCTTACCTCCAGAAATTCTGGTTTAACTATTCGGGGGTCAGCCTGGCATTGGGATTGCAAAATCTCCCCAGCATTTGCCAAGAGCAGCCAGGGCTAAGGACAATTGCCGTAGCCAACTTCTTCTCTCTGTGGAAATCCCCTCCCGTAATGTACCTATCAGGCAGCCACCCACCCTCTGCTTAGGCGTCTCTAGTTACAGTCTGCTCAGCACCTCACATGTCATTTGGGATGATCCCCCTCAAGCTCCTTGTTTCTTTTTTTAAAAATTTTTTGGATGTTTATTTTTTTGAAAGAGAGAGACAGAGAGAGACAGAGAGAGACAGAGTGTGAGCAGGGGAGGGGCAGAGAGAGAGAGGGAGACACAGAACCCGAAGCAGGCTCCGGGCTCTGAGCTGTCAGCACAGAGCCAACTCGGGGCTTGAACACATGGCCTGTGAGATCATGACGTGAGCCGAAGTTGGACGCTTGACCAACTGAGCCACCCGGGCGCCCCTCAAGCTTTTTCTTATGTGGTGTTTGACTTTGCCTCTTGGAACGACCTCCTGTGGTTGACGGTGAATCACATTTAGGTTCTTATCTACACACCAGTACCTCGTTCTCTTTCCTACCCAAAGTGTCTTTTCTCCTAGGTGGATGGATACCTCTGGCTCCTTCAACTCATCTTTACCAGGTAGGGTTTCTTCTCCACTGCATTCCAGTTTGGGCAATGTTCACATTTAGTGTCTTGCCTGGGACCTAGCACAGGGCTCTGGATGTAGTCTCAGACCACTTTAAAATCCCATCACATGCTAACCTGTCATTCTAGCTGACCATAAGGTTAGCATGTGATGGGCTTTGAAAACAAAGCCAAACCCAAAACTTCCTGCCTAAGATCAGCAACAGGCAGCATTGTTTGAAACAGCAAAGCGTATCTGTTGATAGGAGACTGGCTAAATAAACTGGTTTATCCACACAGTGGATTCTCTGCAGCAGGAACAAAGAGAACCTTCCACTGCTAAGTGAAAAAAGCAAGGTGCGTGATGATGAATGTAGTGTTCTGCTTTTATGCAGCCAACAGGGTAAGATTAGAAAATATCTACCTGCTTCCGCTTGTGTATGGAAGCCCTGGGAAGGAAGAGCAGTTACCCACACGGTTGAGCGGGGGTGTTGGGGGGCAATTTTCTGCGTGCCTTCGGAGCCGAGGCCCGGCAGTGTTTGCTGTAGATTACCTTTTCAAGGATGTTTTGTAGAAACGGCCTCGGAAGACAGAACATCTCTCTCCAGGGCAGACAAAGAGTTTTGTCTGCTATCTGGTGAAATTCAAATAATGTTTCCCTCCTAGGCAAAGACTGGGCAGGCTTGTCGTCAGCCCCGTATGAATGATTGGAGGTTCTTGGACTCAGATTCCTCGGCTGTGAGGCAAATCTGCTGTACGTGCAACTTGGGGGCAGGGAGAACCGTGAACTTCAAGTTCACGTGTCTGCTGTGCCATGAGCAATACATCCTGTGTCCTTTATCTAATGGGCATGTGCCTTCTGCTGGTATCCACGAGGAAGTGGCAGGCTTACTTGTTAGCCTACAGGTAGGATAAGATCTTAGACCCTTCACAGTTCTTGACGGGGAAGAGACACATGGGGATGTGCTGTAGGATGAGACTTTTTATTGTGTATCTTCTCATAGCATTAGGTTTTGAACCATATGATTGTGTCTATTACCTACTCAGTCATAACTATCATGACATTTGAAATAAAAATGTTACTCTTGTAAAAAAAAAAACAACTTTTGTCATGTAAATTTAGATTAAGTTAGTGGAAGTTTTCTGCAGATTATGGGAAGTGATGATTTCTTGGCATCCCCTAGGTGGGCAGAATTAAGTGCCCAGTAGAACTCTCCTGATTCCTGGTTCCATAATTTGCCAGGAATTCATCTGTTATCTATCTATCTATCTATCTATCTATCAATCATCTGTCTCTGTCTCTATCCCTTACCTGTCATCTTTGTGAGAGATAATCTGACCTCTGATACCTCTCTGTCGGTAAGGAAATGGATTAATATAATCCGGCGTTCCCATCAGGTTATTTAATTTGGTTGAGGTCCAAACTTATTCCTAGAAATTCAAAGTCCTCATTTAGTATAACTAAAGATGTTAACGAAGGCTGAAATGTCTGGTTGAAACCATTGGATACCAATCATTGTAAGTTTTCTAGAACCTTGGGTCATGACCACAGACCGGATATTTGTGGAAAGAGAAGCATTTCTGTTCAGATGGAAGAAATGTTTGCTCTTCTGAAGTCATATTTTACTACCTTGGACAAGATCTTAGACATTTTGGAAGAGCCAAAGAACTTGAAAAACAAAGGTCAACGGGTGGAGGGGAGGAGAGTTCATATACAGTTCTAGGCGTATAATAATATACACGCTGGGTCAGTGTTCTAGATGCTCTTGAATGTTAGTTCAGATAATCCTCACCTCACTCCTCAGTGCACAGAATACATTCTTTGCTTGGCTTCTGGGACACCAGCTCTCCTGGTTTGGCTCCTACCTCACCGTCCACTCCTTCTGAGTCTCTCATGCTGCGTCCTTGAGACAGAGAGAGACAGGGCATGAACGGGGGAGGGGCAGAGAGAGAGGGAGACACAGAATCGAAAGCAGGTTCCAGGCTCCGAGCCATCAGCCCAGAGCCCGACGCGGGGCTCGAACTCACGGACCGCGAGATCGTGACCTGAGCTGAAGTCGGACGCTTAACCGACTGAGCCACCCAGGCGCCCCCAAAATGGATTTTTTTCAAAAAATGTGTATTTATTTATTTTGAGACAGAGGAGCGTTGCGGGGGCATGTGTGGGGGGGGAGGGGCAGAGGGAGAGGGAGAGAGAAGAGAATCCCCAGCGGGCTCCATGCTGCCCGTGCAGAGCCCTAGGCAGGCTCGATCTCACCTGAGCCAAAATCAAAAGCCAGATGTTTAACCAACTGAGCCACCCAGGCGCCCCTACAAAACGGGTCTTAAATTAGCCGTATCGTTTTTCACCCAGCCGACAAGAACTCGTTCGCCTTTACTTCTAAAAGCATTCAGGGGGTGCCTGGGGGGGCTCAGTTCGGTTGAGCATCTCACTTGGGCTCAGGTCATGATCTCACAGCTTGCGAGTTCGAGCCCCGGTCGGGCTCTGTGCTGTCAGCACGGAGCCTGCTTCGGATCTTCTGTCCACCCCCCCCCCCCCCGCCCCCGTCTGCCCCTTCCCTGCTTGTGCTCTCTCTCTCTCAAAAATAAATAAATCTTAAAAGCAAAAAAAGCATTCAGACAAGTCCGAGAAACATTGCAAACGATTAGCTCAGGGTATATCTCTGGCTTTGGCTGCCATAGATTGTAGTTCTAATATTGTGGAGAGTCATGACTTCCACATACAGTAGGACACCCACAGTGAGGAGGTGATGCCCAGAGAAAGGAGTCCACCATCACGCCAAAGGTCCCCGTCCTGTGGGCAGATGCTGACGGGCAGGTGAGGCTATAGAGAGCCCAGGTTTCTTTGAGTCAAGAACACTGCGGATCAAGTCCCAACTTCGCCGTTTGCTCTCTGTGTGATCATAAGTTAGGGAATTTCTCTGAGAGGGAGACACGGAATCCGAAGCAGGCTCCGGGCTCTGAGCTGTCCGCGCAGAGCCCGACGCGGGGCTCGAACCCACAGAACCGTGAGATCGTGACCTGAGCCAAAGTCGGATGCTTAACCGACTGAGCCACCCAGGCGCCCCGAAATGTTCATTTTCTAATCCCTTCAAGACCACATGTATTCAGAAAGTCTCCTGTTTTTATCTTTTTCCGGCTTAGGTCCAATGGTTTAGTGGAATGCATGCAAATGGAATCAGGAATATTGAAGAATATGTGACAAAGGTGATGTTTGAAGCCTGAGGAGGAGAGGGTGGTTATTCACCCATTTACACAGAAGGAAATAGATGGCATTTCGTGCCACATATCAAACTAAATTCACAGTGGGTTAGAGATGCGTAGGTATGAAATGTTGAACCGCAAAGATACTAAGATATATACAAACATTCATGCCATCTGGGATGTGGATGTCCTCACTGAATGGAACCCCAATGCGATAATAGCGTGGGTTTTAGAGCAAAAGGGCACAGGATCAAGTCCCAGTTCTGCTGTGCACAGAATAGCCTCAGGCAACTGACCAAGCTTTGCCAAGCCTCTGTTTGCTCATCCACAAAGTGGGGATGGGAAAACCTACCTTGCAAAGTTGTGAGATCAGGCAAACTACGTGAAATGTTTGGCCTAAGGAAGGTTCAATTACCATTGACTTTTTTTTTTAATGTTTATTTTTGAGACAGAGAGAGAGTGGAGGAGGGGCAGAGAGAGAAAGAGAGAGAGGGAGAGAAGGAAAAAGGACCCCAACCTGATGCAGGGCTCCAACTCACGAGCTGGGAGATCATGACCTGATCTGAAATCAAGAGTCGGCAGCTCAACCGTCTGAGCCACCCGGGTGCCCCCTAAAGAGAAATTTCTAAGAAAAATCTCCCTTCCCCCAGTCTGGTGGTTGTATGTTAGCTCCACCCAAGCTCAAAGAGGAACACCAAACATTAAGATCTTTAAAACAAAATTCAAATGCTCTCTACCTCATGTGACTTCCACGTCAAGTTTCTTAGATCTCAGGGTGTGGTTTCAGGTGCTGATGAGTACGCGCTTCAGCTTATAATTTGCCCACGTTTTCAACCCACTTACCTTGAGAAAGCGTGTTTGCCAAATCTTCCAGCTGTCCTTGCTGGAAGGAGGCATCTGCCGTTAGTGACAGTTTAATTGGTAAGGGAATTTAGACAACTTCCACATCTTACAACTTTAAAAATTACCTGGGACGCCTGGGTGGCTCAGTCGGTTAAGCATCCGACTTCGGTTCAGGTCACGATCTTAAGGTGAGTTCGAGCCCCGTGTCGGGCTCTGCGCTGACAGCTCAGAACCCGGAGCCTGCTTCGGATTCTGTGTCTCCCTCTCTCTCTGCCCCTCCACTGTTCATGCTCTGTCTCTCTCTGTCTCAAAAATAAATGAGCATTTAAAAAGTTTTTAAAAATTACCGTTCCCCCCCCCTTCTACAACTATTTTCATTATTTGCTCATTGCTTTTTTTTTTTTTAAAGATTTTTTTTTTCAACGTTTATTTATTTTTGGGACAGACAGAGACAGAGCATGAACGGGGGAGGGGCAGAGAGAGAGGGAGACACAGAATCGGAAACAGGCTCCAGGCTCCGAGCCATCAGCCCAGAGCCCGACGCGGGGCTCGAACTCACGGACCGCGAGATCGCGACCTGGCTGAAGTCGGACGCTTAACCGACTGCGCCACCCAGGCGCCCCTGCTCATTGCTTTTTATATGCATACAGTTTCACGATGTCGCGGTCTTACTACACGCACTTTATATTCTCTTCATTTCCCACGACCACTTGTTGGTGATTCCACCTGGTTTTAGTGAACTAGTTTTAGTGACTGTAGAATAATCTGTTGCATCAGTGGACTACGAGTTGTTCAAAATCTCCTTCACGTGTCAAACCTTTCAACAGTTTCCATTTCTCTTGTTTCTTTCTGTTACCAAACGAGGCCACAAGGAACATCTGTACCTTGTGATTTGATTCGGCGGATTTCTTCCCCTTGGGGTAAATTCCTCAGAGTAGAACCGCTGGCTCAAAGCCACGTGTACCTTGTTGATTCTTGTTGTTTATAACATTTCAAAAACTTATTGAACCAAGTTACATTACATCAGCAATGCCTTATTGTTCTCAGCTTGCCCCAACCTCACCAGCATTGATGGAGAGACATCACTTACTTTTTTTTTTTAATGTTTATCTATTTTTGAGAGAGAGTGCAAGCGAGGGAGGGGCAGAGAGAAAGGGGGAGCGAGGTTCCAAAGCACGGAGCTGACAGCAGAGAGCCTGATGTGGGGCTCGAACTCACAAACGGCGAGATCATGACTCGGGCTGAAGTCGGAGGCTCAACTGACTGAGCCGCCCAGGCGCCCCTACTTTTTTTTTTTTTTTGACATTCCAAACTTCAATATGTTTTCTAAAGAAGAGTCTCTAATTCTAGATGACGGGGGGAGGGGGAGGGCTCCTCTCCTTCTGACTCCAGGAATTGCGAGAGGAAGAGTCCAAGGTCACCGAAGAAAGCAGTTGTGCTCGGGGGTTCCTGTCTCCCCCATCCAGGCTTTGACCAGAGTTAGAGGGTGTGAAGGGCTGTTTGATGAATTGGGAAGGGGACCCTCGCAGACCCTCCTCTCTGCAAGTCGCTTTCTTATTCACATGGGTGGCCGGCACAGTTAAGCTGGTGGTCAGGGGGAAAAATCATTTCATCTGTACCCTCGAGTGTCCCTGGGTTTGTCCATGGCACGGACACGGAGTCAGGGAGCAGTGTGTCTGCTCAGTGCCTGTCAGTTCAGGAGAAGGTGCCAGAAGCCTGATGACGTGGCAGCCACAGAGGGCCCCCCACGCCAGCCAGGGCTGCAGAGGTCACTATGCCCAGGGATGATTGAGAATGAATGGATCGTGAGGCCATGAGCCACGAAACAGCAGGTGCCAGCAGAAAGTTCAGGGTCGGGACCAGGTGGCCCTTCCTCAGCAGACACCAGCCACATGACTAGGACTGACAGAAGACCAGGGCGCCTTCTTCCCACTCCCCCCATGCAGGCCCCTCCCCCACATCTCCACCGCCATCTTCGAAAGGCCCAATGAGAGGAGATGAGAAGCCAAAATTAATAAGCTGGCAACGTAAACAGGATGAGAAAAACTAAAGCCGTCCTTCAAATGAATGGGTCAGGCTAAGTTTAAACCACTCTGGACTGCAATTTGTGAATCCTTCTTCCCTGCTGCCCGGTGGAAAGCTGGTAAGATCCAAATCGTTTTTGGAGACTGAAGAAACTTCATTTGCGTTGCGTAGCTGAGGTGCCCTGTGAGCAGTTTTAGAGAACCAGCTAAGGTAGTGGGAATGCAGTTTTTGGTAAAACTCGCACCCGTGCATGCATATCTGCATCAAGAAATGCTCGTAGTGGTGAAATCTGGGGTGGTTTTTACTTTTGTGTTTTTGCTTTCCTTTACTGTTGCTTCCTGTTGGCTGTTACTGTACCATCCTTCCAAAAATGCAAAAAGACCTTTTTATTTTATTTTATTTTTTTAAAAATTTTTTTTTCAACGTTTATTTATTTTTGGGACAGAGAGAGACAGAGCATGAACGGGGGAGGGGCAGAGAGAGAGGGAGACACAGAATCGGAAACAGGCTCCAGGCTCCGAGCCATCAGCCCAGAGCCTGACGCGGGGCTCGAACTCCCGGACCGCGAGATCGTGACCTGGCTGAAGTCGGACGCTTAACCGACTGCGCCACCCAGGCGCCCCTGCAAAAAGACCTTTTTAAAAAAATGTTTATTCATTTATTTATTTTGAGAGACAGAGCGCCAGCAGGGGAGGGGCAGAGGGAAAGGGAGAGAGAGAGAATCTTAAGTAGGATCCACACCCAACGTTGAGCCGGACATGGGGCTCGATCCCACGACCCTGAGATCATGACCTGAGCTGAAATCAAGAGTCGGATGCTCAACCAACTGAGCCACCCGGGTGCCCCCAAAAAGACATTTTTGAAAGCCTAATTCAAACCTCTTGACAGTTTCAGACCTAAATATTCATTTTGCTCTGGACTATGGAGACAGATGAAAACCATTTCAGTTTTCGTATCTCTGACCCCATGTAATTAGTCGTCAAAGGACTTGGCTTCTGACTCCAGAGAGCCTGCATTCCTCCCTGTGCCTTGCACCCCAGAACCCCCAAAAGATTCTACAGTCTGATCGTGGTCATGTTGAAAGTGACACACAAATTAAAGTTATGATCATCGAGTTGGACAAAACCCCAGTGAATTTTTTTTTTTTTAATTTGACTTGTTTTTAGATCAGCCTCGGAGAAAAGGAAAAATAATAGAAATATTAAGTAGAGGCTTCTATACTTTTGCTCTTGGGAGCAAGTGACTCTGTTTATTTTTTGCTTTCGGCATTAAAGTTTACAGGCGTGCTCTCTGTGATTATAGATGCGTGATCGACAAAATAATGGGTATTTTTTTTCCCTCAGAGGCTGTGGATTGTGCCATTGGGGGTAAGAATGCTGAAAAGATCATACAATCAGCTGTTTTTCAGTGCCATTTTCCACCTAAAAGCCTGAGTGTGTTACTTATCAGTGTGCTGCCCTGGGACAGAGCCATGAAAATAGATTAAGTTCCATCTAAGAGACCCTATTTCTTCCTACGTTGATATGAAACATCTTCTCATTGCCTTCCTTTTGGTTCTGCTTCTACGAATTTTTCTGCTTCTACGAATTTTACAGCTTCTTTGATCTTACTTGATCCTGAACATAACTTCAAGTGGTATCATGATTCTTACGTGCGGGATGAGTAAATGAGGCTCGAAGTTCAGCTCTCGCCCCCAAGTCCTACAGCTGGTGGCAGGAACGGCCAGGGATGCCTCCTGCCCGTGTCCAATCTCGCTTTGACTACCCAGGACCTTGACAGGTGCTGACCTTTGGGGTCTCATGATTTTATTAAGAAGCAAAGACAGTGCCTCGCCATTGGCTCTAATTATTGCACTCCTGAGATTTACCTTGAGAAATGCCACTGACCTATGGTCACATCCTTATACTTGTCCCTTCCTCAGAGAAAGGAGAAAGTCAGTAGGACTTCTTCCAAGGAGACAGGGCAGAGATGAACAGGAACTCCTTCCTCATCTGTCTTTCCTTCTTCTCCAGTGAAGTCTGTGATCTTAAAAGCAGGCACTGGCTTTAGGGATCCTTGTTTAAAAAACATCAAATCTGCGAAGAAATTCCGTTAGCCTAACCCTCCTACTTGGCAGGGACTTTATGAAGCAGGGACTCTAGGGGGTCTGCTGTTGGCATATGACTGGATTATCTCAGCATTATGAGAAGCAGGAAAAGGGAAGCAGCCTTTGTTTATTGCTTATAACTGTAATGGCTATAATAGTTGGTAACAACTAGAATGGTGAGGTCTTTCAAAGTTAAACAGGTTTTTTTAATGTGTATTTATTTTATTTTATTTTTTGTTAGAAAAACTTTTTTGACACTTATATATTATTGAGAGACAGAGCATGAGCAGGGGAGGGGCAGAGAGAGGGGACACAGAACCCGAAGCAGGCTCCAGGCTCTGAGCTGTCAGCACAGAGCCCGACGCGGGGCTCGAACTCACGGACCGCGAGATCGTGACCTAAGTCAGAGTCGGACGCCCAGCCAGCTGAGTCACCCAGGTGCCCCAAAAGTTAAACTTAGTGATTTTTTTTGTTTTTGAATCTAGTGAGGAGAAACCTGGACAATGAAACTGAAAATCTAGCCTGAACTTTTATATTTACTTGTTAGAGGATTTGGGGTAAATTACTAAACTGCTTCGAGGTTGAGAGTTTCCCCATCAGCTCTGATGAACGGCGCATTGTTAAGGGGCCACAGAGAGGGGTAGTTCTTTGTACCGATAACAAACACTATGATTGCAACCATTTGGTTTTGAAACCAGGCGAGATGATTTCAAAAGTCGTATATAAACTGTAAAACATAAAATTCAAAATGCCTGAAAAGATATGGCGACAATAATCAGTATAATATTATTATTATCACTCTCCAGCCTGCTTTTTCCTGTTTTGTGTTTCTTCAAACGCTTGCTTCAAAAGTCGTATATAAACTGTAAAACATAAAATTCAAAATGCCTGAAAAGATATGGCGACAATAATCAGTATAATATTATTATTATCACTCTCCAGCCTGCTTTTTCCTGTTTTGTGTTTCTTCAAACGCTTGCAGAAATGAACGCCTTCTTTCTTCACCCCATCCACCACCTTTCTGTTTCTTTTCCCTTGGTGAATCGCGCTGACTTTCAAAACTTCGCATCTTTCATGCCTGACGCCTCCCTGCACAGCCTCCCGGACATACTTCTAAACATGCGCTAAAGATCATTGAAGTATCTAGGTTGTATCTAGGTTGTTTAATCATATGTGGTTTTGTGGGTAAATGGATAAATCAATGGGCGTGGCTCGCCAAGGGTGACCGTACCTAATTGTGGGGTTGTTTTTTGTTTTTGTTTTTGTTTGTCGTCGTCGTCGTCGTCGTTGTCTTTCTATCATAGGGACAATGGAGGCTTTGATGGCCGGAACTGAGACGGTGACAGCGGATGCGTCTGTCAGGACCACACTGTTCGACTATGAGTTCTCGCTGCCATGTGAAAAACTCAACGTCAAGGAGCTGGGGTCCCGCCTCTTGCCCCCACTGTATTCCCTGGTGTTCGTGGTTGGTCTGCTGGGCAACGCGATGGTGGTGGTGATCCTCACAAAATACAGGAGGCTCCGGATCATGACCAACATCTTCCTGCTCAATTTGGCCATTTCTGACTTGCTCTTCCTGTTCACTCTGCTGTTCTGGATTCATTACAGCAGGTGGAACGAGTGGGTGTTCGGCCACTTCATGTGTAAGCTCCTCTCTGGGCTTTACTACATGGGCTTATACAGCGAGATTTTCTTCATCATCCTGCTGACCATAGACCGGTACCTGGCCATCGTCCACGCCGTGTTCGCCCTGCGGACCCGGACCGTCACTTTCGGTATCACCATGAGCGTCCTCACCTGGGGCCTGGCAGGGATAGCAGCCCTCCCTGAATTTATCTTCCATCAGTCCCAAAATGATGCTGAACAGTACATCTGTTTGCCTCTTTATCCAGGAGGCCAAGAGGATAACTGGAAGCGTTTCCATGCTCTGAGCATGAACATCCTCAGTCTGGCCCTGCCTCTGCTCATCATGGCCGTCTGCTACGCGGGAATTATTAGGACACTGCTGAGATGCCCCAATAAAACCAAGTACAAGGCCATCCGGCTCATTTTTGTCATCATGGTGGTCTTTTTCATGTTCTGGACCCCTTACAACCTGGTCCTCCTTCTCTCTGCTTTCCAAACGATCTTCTTTGAGGTCAGTTGTGAGCAGAGCAAATGGCTCGATGTGGCCATGCAGGTGACAGAGGTGATCGCCTACACGCACTGCTGCGTTAACCCCGTCATCTACGCCTTCGTCGGGGAGAGGTTCCGGGAGCACCTCAGCCACTTCTTCCGCAGGCACGTGGCCACCAACCTGGGCAAATACATCCCGTTCCTTCCCAGCGAGAAATCAGACCGAGCCAGCTCTGGCTCCCCATCAACGGGGGAACAGGAGCTCTCTTTTGTCTTTTAGGCCAGATGCGGAAAAATACCTAAAGCGGAGGCGCCGGGCAGATGAAGGAAACACATGAAGTCCATCGCGTTGACTTTAACGCCAGCCCTTTGAACTTCTAGCTCGATGCCGAAACTTGTAAAGACATTAAAGCGTATACACAATGGGGTCAGCAGACCCGTGTGCCCGGGCGTTAACGGGGGTCACTAGTTAGTCAGTTCACTTGCCGTCCACACAGAAGTTTGCTCGGTTCTCGGAAGAGTTACATCCAGTGTAATGTACCCAAGTGTTAGCTAGTCACTATATGCAGCTATGAGCAGGTAAATCATTTTACAGTTTAAACCTTAACTTTAGCTAGCTGTTGCGTAAATGAAACGTATTTCACAAAATACAATAAATCAGTCGCAATACTTTTAATGTGCCTAGCTCTCTCCTTGCTTGATGAAAAGGCTTTTCCTTCTTTTTTTAGCTTATGTGTATGTACTCTCAGCAGCATAATGGCACGTCACCTTTGTTCCGAGTATTCTTTTTTTTTCTGAAGTTTATTTATTTATCTTAAGAGAGAGAGAGAAACTCCGACGCAGGCTCCTCACTGGCAGCACAGAGCCCGACGCGGGGCTCAAACTCACGAACCATGAGATCATGGCTTGAGCCAAAACCAAGAGTCAGAAACGTAACCGACTGAGTCACCCAGATAGCCTTCTTCCCTCTTTTTATTTTTTTTTAAGATTTTATTTTTAAGTAATCTCCACACCTAACACGGGATTTGCACTCACAACCCTGAGATCCAGTCGCGCGTTCTACCAACTGAGCCAGCCAGGCGCCCCTCCACTCCTGCCCTGAGTATTCTTAATAGTGAATGGATTTCCTGTTTACACCGAATGACCAAATTTCCCATGAGCGACTCAACAGAAGAATTGTGATTTGATATGTTCAGTGTAGAGAATAAAGGCCCTGCTGGTAGAAACTTCTCAGAGCCCTGCAATGTGCAGACCCTGTCCTCTTGAACACCAAGCTCACCGTTCGTCCAGCAACTGTGCTTAAGGTGATGTGGACAGGACGCGCTAACATTGCTTTCGGTTAAGTGAAGGATGAAAAAAGTGTGTGAGACAAACAATCCCTGACCTGTGAACTCTTCCATCTGGTAGGGGGTGTGAGACAAAGACAGATGACTCCAGAACGAAGAGGAACACACTCAGGGCTCTGCCTGGGCCAGGGAGGGAGAGACCATTTCTAGCGGGAATCTGAGGCAGAAAGACTTCGCGGAGGAAGTGGCCTTTGAGCAGGTCTTTGAAAAAAGGACAGGATTTGGAAAGGGAGGAGATAGGGGGGAGACAGCCGAAGCCAGCGGAATGCTCAATACAAAGGTGAGGGGGGAGGGCACAAACTCACGTGGACTGTAGGGCGGGGTCGGAAGGTTGCAATGGGCCATGGATTTCAGGGAAAGCACCTTGGGCTTTTCTGGGAAGACAAAGGGGAGAAGAACGATCCTCGTGGTGCATTAGGAAGATAAATCCAGTGATACAGGATGGAGTGAAGACCCCAGAACCGTGCAGGGACGTGGGTTAGAAGACAAGGGTGCGTGTGAGGCAAAGCGAGATCAATGGCTAATAAGAGAGGGTCCAGAAGAACCCGGAGAGGAATTTGGCCAAGAGGCACCATGACAGAGGAATCAAAGCACCAGGAGCAATAGAAGACTGATTGATAAGAAGAAAGCAAAGACCAAACAGAATGTATCATATGTCAAAAAGGAAAGAGAAAGAAAGGAGAAAGGAAGAAAGAAAGAAAGAAAGAAAGAAAGAAAGAAAGAGAAAGAAATAAAGAAAGGAGAGACACATGCGGATTATTTGCTGGGCTCGGGTGGGCTGCCCGTCTCTTAAAGGATGGGAAAGGAAGCAGGGGTAGCCTTGGGTGTCTTTGGGAAGAAATGTGAGTGCAGAATGCAAGTGTGACTTTCCTCCGAAACCGCTTGTGCCTTTTGGCTTGTGGACTGTGGAACCACATTACCAATGAAAGATAGACACAAACCTTTAGAATGATATATTTAAAAGAAGAAGAAGAAGAAGAAGAGGAAGAAGAAGAAAAGCTAGGCTGCTCTTCAGATGTGGTATCCATTCCACCAGCCACGAGGGCATTGGGAACTTTGAAGTACCTTTGATCTCTTTTGTGGTTCAGCCAGAATGTACTATAAAGAGCAATCATGTGAAGACTTAACTACACGCCACAGGGTTTCCTCTCGCGTTGGGAAGTGACATCTGGCCTTAGGTAAGCACAGGTGCGGAATATAGGTGTTGGTTCATATCCCCAGACCCCTGAGAGCTTTTAGGAGCCCTGTGACCTACACGGGACTGCACATAACCAAATCATGGGCCCAGCATGCTCCATTTGGCCCCCCAGCCCCAACACTGTCCAACAGAACTAACTACGGTGATAGAAATGTTCTCAACCTGCGTTGCCCAATAGGGCCACCAGTCTTTGAAATACTGAATTTTTAATTTGTTAAGGTTTATTTACTTTTGAGAGACAGAGAGAGACAGAGAGGGAAGGGGAGGACAGAGAGAGAGGGGTACAGAGGACCCGAAGCAGGCTCCATGCCGACAGCAGAGAGACTGACGTGGGGCTCGAACCCACAAACCACGAGATCGTGACCTGAGCCGAAGTTGGATGCTTAATCAACTGAGACAACCAGGAATCCCTGAATTTTTCACCCCTGCCACCTTGTCTCTTTGTATCTATTCCACCTACACATCAAGCTTCCGGGAGCCAGCTAACACTCATCTTCAACACTGTGTGACAGATCAGGGAAAATACCAGGGGCTGTAAAGACGAATAGGACCCACTTCTAGGAAACTCACTCACTGTTCAGTGCAAGACACCCATCTGAATCCAATGGTGATAATGGAACATGGTGGGTATTTCTCCTGTAACAGAAAGCGGAAGGGTGACGTGAAGCCAGGTGCGCACGGAAAGTCACCTTCTGCTTCGGTGGGGTTCCCCCAAGAGCAGTTCCTGAGCGATGATTTGAGAGCAAAGAGTTTATTTGGAAAGTGCTGGGAACTCCGGTGGGGAGCGGGGAAGGAAGACAGGAAGGGGAGGGTGCTAGCAGAGGGTTCATTTTGAAGTACCTTCTGCTGGGGGGGGGGGGGAGTGACTGGAGCACCAAACCACTGGAAGACCCGTGGCCACAGCGTAACTCCTACTCAGCTGTCCCGCTGGAGGGGGGAGTCGGGGTATTTATATTCTGCCCTGTCAGTCACTGGCTGATGGCTGCTCCCAGGGGATGTTAATTCCCCAGCACTTCCGGCCTGACTGGCTCTGGCAGATGCTTTTTTCCAGCTGGGGGGAGAGCTCCCAGGCAACACGATGTAGATGCTGGATGTTGGAAGCCAGCCGGGCACACTCAGTTAAGGCTTCAGGGATAACGCATCGGCCGCATATTTGAACATGTTTGTGAACAACTTTCTGGTGAAGCCAAGGGTGGACGTGAGAGTGGTGTCCAGGCAGGTGGGTCAATGTGTCAGAAGGCACAACGGCACAAAAGGGCACTACAGAGAGCCCGCTGTGGCAAGCCTAGGAGTCTCCCAGACAATGGCAGGTGGCCTTGAACAGGCCTCAGCTTTGACTCCCTGCTCCGCCTTCTCTCCGTTGAGCATCACAGTCTGCTAGTTTTGTTTTTTTTTTTTTAAGTTTATTTGTGTATTTTGAGACAGAGAGAAAGCAGGATCAGGGGAAGGGCAGAGAGAGAAAGAATCCCAGGCAGCCTCCTCAATTTCAGCATCGTGCCCGATGCGGGGCTTGGACTCACAAACCTTGAGTTCGACCTGAGTCGAAACCAAGAGTGGGATGCTTAACCGACTGAACCACCCAGGTGCCCCACACTCTGCTAGTTTAAAAAAGATGATCCTTGGGGTGCCTGGGTGGCTCAGTCGGTTAAGCATCTGACTTCAGCCCAGGTCACGATCTCACGGTTCACGGGTTCGAGCCCCGCATTGAGCTCTGTGCTGACAGCATGGAGCCCGGACCCAGCTTCGGATTCTGTGTCTCCCTCTCTCTCTGCCCCTCCCCAGTTCGTGCTCTGTCTCTCTATCTCTCAAAAATAAATACAAAAATATAAAAAAAAATAATAAAGATGATCCTTTCCCAGCTTGAGTTTCTGAGGGTTTCTTCAAATTCCAGAATGAAAATTCTAAAGTCTGGTTCTTAACAAACCCGGTTCCTGTCCTCCATAGCCGTGGGCTTTCAACAACCTCATTCGGGTTTTCTTCCACTTCTGCCCAGTTTAAATCCCCGGTATAGTTACAGTCATCTTTCTCCATCCACTGATCTCTTCTAGGGATCTGTGAATTAGGACCCACGAGCCGAAAACGGCCCCCGGCCCACTCTACAAATAAAGTTTCACTGGAACGCAGCTGAGCTCTTTTGCTTATGAACAATAAGCACAGACCATGAGTCTGTGGTCAATCCCATAGATTCCGTGTTCCAAAGTGGACTATAAGCAGAACTTCCACAGGAACTTGAAAAACAGGTTTTCTGACTCTGGAGACCGCCTCATCTATATTGGGGACATGAGTGCATTGATGAAAATAGGGAGGTATTTGAAAAGGGGTCCTTTGTAGAAAACTGCGGGTGCCATGTGCCCTGGGCGGGAAGGAAATGGCAGGTGGGTGCTTGTCTCTCACCTCAAGCCTGGCGAGAACGATGCCACTGGCCTCCCCTGGGAGCTCCATAGGAATCGCCCTGGTTAAAGAGGCGTTGTGCGCAGGCTCGGATCGGCCAAGAGGGAGCTAGTCCGCTGGCCGCTGTCCTATGCCATCAGAAGAAGAGCTTCCTCCTGCGGTCTAGACTTTTGGCCCTGAGCGAAGCCTCTCCATTTTCAGACGGGGCGAGATTTTTTCCTGGCTTAGTTTGAGGTCCTGGAAAATGGACCCCAACAGGCGGAAGCTCATGCCTGACCTGCGGACACCGGCTTCGGTCACAGTTGCAACGTGAAACGTGGACGCTAGAGGGCACTCGCCCACACCAGGGCCCGGGGGTACCTCAGGCAGCCAGCCCACGTGGTAGCTGGGTGGTGAGGTTTTGAGGTCACAGCAAGACACTCAAGCTTGCCTGTATCCGGTGTGGTCCAGCTGTGTTGCAAAACTTGAGGGGATGCCATTTTTATCCCCAGGGATCGTGCGACGCCGTGCCCAAGAAGGCGCAATGGAAGGCGGGAAACACAGGTTGGATTTATTATCATCTAGGCCAATTCCTAGTTCGGGGATGTGGGATTTTGGTAAACTGGTTATAGCTCAAGGCCTATGAAATTCCACGACCTCCTCCTAAACCAAACTTCAAATCTTATTCCAGAGGCCCATGCCCAAGCCCAAAGCAATGGTGGCGGGGGGGGGGGGGGGTGTGTTGTTGAAAACACACGTGAA